GCGAACACTGCAAGCGCCGTTCACGCATGGCCCTGTGGCCACAAATGTACAGGGAGGATTTTTACGGTTCAAGAGCAACTGGACCATTCAAGCTAGCCACATGTGGCATTCTTGTTTTTGTAAGAAATTGTGAGTGAGGCGAAGCTGAGTGCAGGATCAAACTCATAACAAGCCACTAAGGAAGAGGAATAAAAACCAGAGCAGGCTAAAGAGCAGGCCAGGGGGTCCTCCCTCCCTCCCTGTGTCTGCATGGCATGGGGTCCCTTGCGAATGGGCAGGGGGCCCTGGCCTTTTCAAGCCTGTGGGCCCATTCAGATTTTTCAGCTAATGCCAGGAGGAACCCTCCGCTCTGGTCACTTCCTGTCTCCCTCCCTGGAATTAGCCCCCCCCCAACCCCCAGTGAGACAGAAAAAGTCAAAGGTAGACCCACTGAAATGAATGAACAGACCTAGGCTCCATTGATTTCAAAAGGTCAGCTCTGAGTAAAACTCCATAGACTCCCACACAATGTGTGTTCGGGGAAGCCTCAGAGCCAATAGAATTAATCTGAGTCCTGTAAAGTACATTGAGCTGGAAGAAAGTGTGTCAGTCTTCCAACTTTCCCCTTCAGGACTTTTTAAGGGAGAAAAGGGTAGCCCCCCTCACCATCTCATGACCAGCCAGGGGCATAGCCAGGATTTATGGCCGGGGGGGGGGGCAGGGGCAGGACACCCACATGTTAGCAGCAGCTTTGGAACGAAATGTCTCAGCAACAGTTGTTTTAAATTGCTTTCTTTTGGCCCCAAGTACTCAGAAAAATCTGTCAAAATCTTTCTACAATTTCTACTTTTAGTTAAGTATTTTTATTTATTTACTTGATTTAAGCGGGGGCAGCAGCTCCCCTACCTCCATGTGACCAAAGCAGGGGCTATTTGGGCACCAGAGGAAGACCTCAAGGGCACCATTGCATGCAATGACACCACGGTGGCAACTCCTGCTTTACAACATAATTGAGCCCCACCCCCCTTTTTGGTCTCAGATTGATGGGGCCCATTGTATTACATCCAGTGTGTTCCTTTGAAGGAGAGGCCAATCTACACCTCTTGGGAAAGAATCCGGTGGCCTCACAGTACCTAAGGACTGTGTGAGCAGCCAACCTTTGCTAGGTCTTGCCACTATTTACTTGGTTCCAGGATACCTTTGTTTTTTAACCAGACTGAGTATAGGGACCTTCTTATTACATGATTCATAAAGTCTCTGTGGACTTTCACCTTGTCATAACATAAGTAAGCATGCCAATCGAAACGATTGTTAAAGCCCCCTAGGTCTAGTATGTCAGTGTTTTTCAATACTAGCCATTCTTTAATCCAAGATAGGCATGCAGCTTCATGATACAATTCTAAATTTGTCAGTGCAAAACCTCCTCTTTTTCTGCCATCTGTCAATAATTTATAACTTATTCTTGACCTCTTGCCCTGCCAAATAAATCTTGTTATATCTTTCTGCCAGGTCTTAAAATGTTTTGCACTGTCCACTACTGGGATAGCTTGAAATAGTAAAAGCATTTTAGGCAACACATTCATTTTTATTGTGGAGATCCTACCCCAGAATGATAATGTTAACCTGTCCCATATTTCCAAGCTTCTTTTTATTTCCTTCCAAATTGGTATGTACAGTAGTTGTCTTTATAAAGGTTTATGTTCTTTGCCGATATGCAGATTCCTAGATATTTGATTCTTTTACAAATTGTCAGTCCTGTAAGTTGTTGTACAGTGGAACTTCATGTTACAGACGGGATCCGTTCCAGAGACCCATCTGTAACACAGAACTGACGCAAGCTGAAGTGCCACGTCTACGCGTGTGGCGTGATTTAGCGCTTCTGCGCCTGCGTGAGTGGCGAAACCCAGAAGTAACCCGTTTCAGTACTTCCGGGTTGCCACAGGACGCAACATGAAAACACGTAACCTGAAGCGGATGCAACATGAGGTATGATTGTAGTTCTCTCATATTTTTGACTTACATTTTGTTTTTTTCTTTATTGAGTTTGAAGCCTGCGACTAAGCCAAATTCTGTAATCTTCTCTATCACTATTGGCACACTTTCTTTTGGGGTTTTCATTGTTATAGTCAGGTCGTCAGCAAAGGCTTTAACTTTGAAGGTCTTGTTTCCAACAACTATACCCCTTATGTTCTTTTCTTTTCTGATGTTTGTGTTCAGAATTTCCAACACCAAAATAAATAACAGTGGGGATAAAGGACACCCCTGTCTCTTACCTCTCTTAATATTAGTTTTCCATTAGATTGTTATTTATAACTAGTTTAACTCTTTGTTGCAAATAATTTATACCTTATAGAAATTATCTGTCAACTCCAGTGTTATTTCCATAAACCTCCAGGAGACATTGTCAAATGCCTTCTTAATTGTAGTTTTCCAGCAAACCCGACCGGGTACACATCAGTCACTCTGGAAATGACATATCCCAGGACTTTTTGTGCATGAGATGGTGTCATGAGCAAAAAGCCCCCGGACATGTTCTTTTCAAGGGTGTCTAATGTTCAGACAAAGGGCTCAAGTGACCTGAGAAGCTACACACTCATGTGTCCTTAGCACCTGGCTGCTGAAACAAGAAAATTCAAAGTGCCAGGAAGGGAGGGAGGGAGGGAACAGTTCAGCTTAAATTCTGAGCCAGAGAAGAATGCAGCTCAATTTGCAATGGAGCTGATCCAGTGAGCTGCAAGTCTTTACATTCTGTTACTGTTCACAATTATTTCCCTCCATTTTGCAATGTTAAAATGCAGTGTTAGAATAAAGAGCATTTGGAAATGGGCAGAATGGGGATGGGGAACCTCAGTCCCAAGGACCAAATAGTAAGAAATAGTAAGGAATTGGTAAGGAATTCTCTGTAAAGGAAGTCCATATGAAGTCCTGTGTGACTCAAACTTGCATGAACATAGATGGACTTTCACATACTTGTGGACTTTTCTGCCTGAGATGGCAGGCTATGATGGAGCCCATGTGGGAAGCCTTTCAGGGACTGATCTGCTCCTCTGAGCTTCCAGTTGCCTGTGTATGCTCTGTTTATCTAAGCCAGAGTATCAGACCACAGAAGATGCTTAAAATAAATAAATAAACAAATAAAGCAAGCCAGCCAGCAAGCCAGGGAACCAGTATTAAAACAATTGCTTAAATGCCGTGAGTCACGTTTGATCCCGAAAGGCTTTCTCCACATCTGAGCTCATTGCCACCTTTCATCATTCTGCCTCCTGGGTTTCCAAGTTGATTTTGATGAGGACTGGCAGGGATGGATTATGCAGAGCACTTGGGGCTATGAGTCCCGTTGAAGCAAGATAGAAAGGATTCAGCTCCACTTGTTTTGAAGTATTTGGGGGATGCACCAGATGATGAAAACAAGGAGGTTCTGCTTCTCTGGAAAAATAAAGTCCTTCCTCTGGACAATAACTGCGCTGAAATTTTATAGGCAGGAGACATGCCCCGAACTGATTTTCTATTTCTCACTTAAATGTGCTTTCCCAGCATCTCTGTTGAAGACACTTTTCATGCAGCTTCCATGGGCTGAACACCTCCTATGGACCGGCTAGCAGGATTGGTCATCAAGTGATGCTGTGCTAGGAGAAAACCCAAGTGCACTGAAAACCTTCAGCTGCAAAGGTGCATTCTGATACCCGGCAGCAAGGATCCAAACATTTGGGCAAAGCTCTCACAAAATTATTTATGCTGCTGTTTGTGCAAAACCTTGGTTGCCACAGCAACAGATACATTATGGGATGACTGTATCTAAATGGGTCGGGAAGGAGCTGGAGGAAGGAAAGCATTTCTGACTTGATACCATGTTTGCTTAGGATTTGCTTCATTTGCAGTGGAATCCTGAGCAAGTCAGAAGTAATTTCCCATGAGCTCACTCTGATTAAAATCCATAGGCTCAGCCAGATGCTCTTTCCATGCTCTTGTAGAGTTCCTGTTCATTTGAATTGGGGTCCTGAGAAATGCGGGTGAGGTTCAGAAGTGGGGAACCAATGTCTGCCCAGATTCTGCTGAGTTTCTGGATTACAATTCATATCATCCCTGACAATTGGCAGTGCAGCCTGGAGCTGATGGGAGCTGGAATCCAACATCATCTGTAGGGCAACGGGTTCATCATCACTGCTGCTGTTTGTGCCCCATGATAATTATGTGTGTGTGTGTGTGTGTGTGTGTGAGAGAGAGAGAGAGAGAGAGAGAGAGAGAGAGAGAGAGATTTGGCTCAGACACTAAAAATATCTGCTTTCAAGCTGTTTTTCAGTACAGCTTTCTGCAACCTGCTTTCCTGCAGATGTTCTGAACTATTTGCTCCCATTGGCTCCAGGGTCTGATGGGAGTTGTCATCCAAAACATCTGGAGGGAACCAGGTTGGGAAGGCTGATGTAGAATAGGATTCAGATGAACATTGTATCTAGGATGTTAACATCATGTGAACAATTCTGTATTCCTTTTATTTTATTTTCTGCCAAGGTAGTATGGTACTGTTCTGTAAGGTTAAGGCTGACATTTCTAGCAACAGAACTCACAATGCACCTTCCAATAAAAGGCCAAGAGGAAACATGACATCCGTGGCAACATGGATGTAGAATCCATACCTCTGCAAACAGCCTCCATGGGTCCTGCAAGCATCAGAGTGAATAATTTCTCTCCTTTAATGCTGCCCCATAGTCTCTGTGGCACTAAGTCCAGCACCCACCCACCCCAGCTCTCAGACTCCTCTTCTGGAGCTGCAGTAGAAAACTATCAGTAACCAACCAGCTTCCTGTTACTCCAGCTTCCTTCTAATCTGGCCAAGGTGCCTTTTCTCCTCCTCATGTGCCATCGTGTGTGCTCCAGAATCATAACTTCTCTCCTTCCTGTTTTCCTAACTGTTTGCAATGGTGCGAGAAGAAGGACAGATATTTGTAGAATCATAGAATTGTAGAGTTGGAAGGGACCACAAGGGTCATCAAGTCCAAGCCCCTGCAATGCAGGAATTTTTATACCCAGCATGGGGCTTGAGCACACAACCCTGAGATTAAGAGGCTCATGCTCTACTGACTGAGCTATTTGCTAGGTTAGCAGGAGGCTGGGTATCTTAATTCCCATTGCAGCCCTGGGCTTGGGATAAAGAGGAGAGAGTGAGAGCAGGGTGGAGATTTCAACTTTGCAATGCTCACTTTCAATTTGACCATTCCTTCCTCTGACATATGGCCCTAACATGTTGACCAGTAGGAATAATGTTGGTTTCAGTTGACCTGTTGGTCAGTTTTAATGTATAGGTCCTGACCTGTAAACTCCCATGTGGTCTTGGTTCAGGGTGTCCCAAGGAGTGGTTTCTCCCATTTGAACATTTTTGCATACTCTTGGTACATCTGCATGCCACAGAGGCCAGTTGCTTTTGCACAAGTGTCATCCATTTCTTCTGGAGACTTCATTGTCTAGGATAATACATTTGGCTATTGGCAACTCTGGACCCACGATCACTTGTTGGTCTGGCAATGCAATGGGTAGACTCTGCAGCACATTTGTTTAATTCTATGTCCTTTTCTACTGAATCATCTTCATTGGGCTCTGAGGGAAGTACTCTGCTCAGTGTGTCTGCCATTCGAAGGTGCTTGCCTAGATGCAGTGGCCCCAACTTCAGGGGGCCCTTGCACCCACATTTTTGTTGTTGTGGGTGCTCAGCCCCCACCCGCCACCGCCACAACGTGCAACGCCAATGTGTGCCATCACTGCTGCTGCCCCTTGCCGCCACCACTATCCCCCACTACCGCTACCCCGCCGTGCGGCTCCGTACCACAAAACTGGGGCCCACCGTGGCCTCTGGAAGGCCCACTGTGGCCTCCTCTTCCCACATGACATCACAGGCCAGTGCCAGGCACCCACAAAGTGGGGCAGAACCTGGCACCCCTGCCTGGATGATACTTAGAATCATAGAATCATAGAATCATAGAGTTGGAAGAGACCACAAGGGCCATCGAGTCCAACCCCCTGCCAAGCAGGAAACACCATCAGAGCACTCCTGACATATGGTTGTCAAGCCTCTGCTTAAAGACCTCCAAAGAAGGAGACTCCACCACACTCCTTGGCAGCAAATTCCACTGTCGAACAGCTCTTACTGTCAGGAAGTTCTTCCTAATGTTTAGGTGGAATCTTCTTTCTTGTAGTTTGGATCCATTGCTCCGTGTCCGCTTCTCTGGAGCAGCAGAAAACAACTTTTCTCCCTCCTCTATGTGACATCCTTATATTTGAACATGGCTATCATATCACCCCTTAACCTCCTCTTCTCCAGGCTAAACATGCCCAGCTCCCTTAGCCGTTCCTCATAAGGCATCGTTTCCAGGCCTTTGACCATTTTGGTTGCCCTCCTCTGGACACGTTCCAGTTTGTCAGTGTCCTTCTTGAACTGTGGTGCCCAGAACTGGACACAGTACTCCAGGTGAGGTCTGACCAGAGCAGAATACAGTGGCACTATTACTTCCCTTGATCTAGATGCTATACTCCTATTGATGCAGCCCAGAATTGCATTGGCTTTTTAGCTGCCGCATCACACTGTTGGCTCATGTCAAGTTTGTGGTCAACCAAGACTCCTAGATCCTTTTCACATGTACTGCTCTCAAGCAAGGTGTCACCCATCTTGTATTTGTGCCTCTCATTTTTTTTGCCCAAGTGCAATACTTTACATTTCTCCCTGTTAAAATTCATCTTGTTTTTGCCCAGATCTCTAATCTGTCAAAGTCGTTTTGAAGTGTGATCCTGTCCTCTGGGGTGTTAGCCACCCCTCCCAATTTGGTGTCATCTGCAAATTTGATCAGGATGCCCTTGAGTCCATCATCCAAGTCGTTGATAAAGATGTTGAATAAGACCGGGCCCAAGACAGAACCCTGTGGCACCCCACTAGTCACTCTTCTCCAGGATGAAGAGGAACCATTGATGAGCACCCTTTGGGTTCGGTCAGTCAGCCAGTTACAAATCCACTGAGTGGTAGCATAGTCAAGACCGCATTTTACCAGCTTCTTTACAAGAATATCATGGGGCACCTTGTCAAATGCCTTGCTGAAATCAAGGTAGGCTACATCCACTGCGCTCCCTTCATCTACCAGGCTTGTAATTCTGTCAAAAAACGAGATCAGGTTAGTCTGACATGACTTATTTTTCAGAAATCCATGCTGACTATTGGTGATCACAGCATTCCTTTCTAGGTGCTCACAGACTGTTTGCTTAATGATCTGCTCCAGAATCTTCCCTGGTATTGATGTCAGACTGACTGGGCGGTAATTATTTGGGTCCTCTCTTTCCCCTTTTTGAAAATAGGGACAACATTTGCCCTCCTCCAGTCTGCCGGGACTTCGCCTGTTCTCCAGGAATTCTCAAAGATGACTGCCAGTGGTTCTGAGATCACATCTGCCAGTTCTTTTAATACTCTTGGATGCAGTTCATCTGGCCCTGGAGACTTGAATACATCTAAACTAGCCAAGTATTCTTGTCCTTAGTTATTCTGGGCTGTGTTTCCTCTGCTGAATCATTTGCTCCAAATTCTTCAGGTCGCACATTGTTTTCTTTATCGGAGAAGACTGAGGCAAAGAAGGCATTGAGGAGTTCAGCCCTTTCTGTGTCCCCTGTTTGCATTTCACCATCCTCTCCTCTGACCCCACTGTTTCTTTGTTTTTCCTTTTGCTACGAACATACCCATAAAAGCCTTTTTTGTTGCTTTTAACCTCTCTAGCAAGCCTGAGTTCATTTTGTGCTTTAGCTTTCCTGACTTTGTGTCTACACGTGCTGGCTATTTGTTTGAATTCCTCTTTGGTGGTTCCCCCCCTTTTCCATTTTTTGTACACATCCTTTTTTAATCTTAACTCAGTTAAAAGTTCTTTAGATAGCCACCCTGGCTTCTTTAGGCACCTTCCATGTTTCCGTCTCATTGGTATTGCCTGAAGTTGTGCTTTTACTATCTCCCTCTTAACAAACTCCCAGCCATCATGAACTCCCTTTCCTTTCAGTATTACTGTCCATGGGATCTCACCCAGCACTTCCCTAAGTTTTATGAAGTCAGCTTTCTTAAAGTCAAGAAATTCTCCCCCAGATGGCTGCTGCAAAAGAAATGTGGCCCTAGGGCTGAGAAAGGTTCTCCATCCCTGCTCCTGCATGCAATAGCTGCTAATCAGGGTCCATAAACATGGCTTCTTCTAAGGCCTCTGCGTGCTTTGGCTGGGCTTTCCTTTGGTTAAACTGGGCCCTAGGAGGAGAGTGGGAAAGGGCTGGTCTGGTTTTTGTTGTTCAGTTTTTATCCAGCCTTCTGCAATGCCATGCCCAGGAAACGTCTTGGACTGCAGTTGCATAACAACCTAGTGTACGTCCTGCTGACATTGTGGCTCCCAAATGACATCTCTGACCTCTACTTGACCTTAGGCCCATCCCCACTTCTGCTTGTCCCAGACCTAGAAAGCAGGGCTGTGCTTTATTGGCATGGGTCCAAGGGGTCTGGCCTCTACCCTGCTGCTTTCCTCTTGAAAACCTGATATTTAGTGCTAAATTGGAGAAAAATCAGTTGTTGTCCTGGGAGAAAGCAGCAGCACAAGCAGAGGCGTAGATGAGCTATTCTCCCAACAAAAGGGAATGAGTGAGGCTGTCTACCTAGAAAAAGAAAGTAGTTTTGCAATCCTCTACTTGAGCAATATAGATTAAAATAGGCACTGCTTGAACATGATTCCATAAGCACTCATCTTATTATTTAAATTGGTATACCAGACCCTCCAAGTGTCCCTGGATAGAAAAAAGCTATCCTGGCTTCTGATTTGATCCCATAATGTGCCACTTTTCTTTAGGACGTCCCTATTTTCATTGGAGAAATGTTGGAGGATATGGTATACCACTCTTCATCTGAAAATCACAGGAGGGTTCACAACATAAATGGGGAGCCACCACAGAAAAGACCCTTTCTTGTGTTGCCACCTTCTGGACTTCTCTGAGGGCAGGGCACACCAAGAAGGGCCTCAGATAGCGATTGCAGGTCTGGGTTGATTCATATGGCGAGAGGCAGTCCTGAGCTGTTTAAGGCTTTAGAGGTCAAAACCGGCACTTTGAATTGGGCCTGGAAACTAATTGACAACCAGTGCAGTTGGGCCAGGATCAGTGCAAAATGCACAAACCGTATTGCCTTGTGAGCAATCTAGCCACCAAATTATGCACCAGTATAATGCAAAGTGTAATGAAGATGTCTAAATGTAAGCATGATGAATAGCACAATAACAATTTATAATCTGCTGCATGGTGATGCTGGGGAGACAGGCAAAATCCTTTTTCACATGTGGCATGGGACCAGGGGAAGAATTTGGTCTATACATAGGACAGCAAGTTTGGGATTCACACATCCCAGTTTTTTTGTTCTGTAGAAGGTCCCATGTGCAAACCCCAGCACGTGGCTGGTGATGGGAAAGACCCTTTGCGTCTTTGAACCTGGAGGTCCATTGCCAGTCAGAACAGGTAATATGGGCTAGATGCTAAAATAGTCTGAATGGATATAAGGCCGCTCAATTTCTCCATATTCTGCCATTGCTTTTCATTAGAAGGAGCAATGAGCTACATAAGGCACTGGAGCCCCGCCCCAGACCCCTGAACACCCAGTTTTGAAGATTTCGCTTGGTCTTCCCTGCACACTTTGTATCTGTCAGACCTCAGATGACCAGTTAATGGGAACCACAGGGGAGGAGAGTGCTGAGCGATTGGATGCTGCTCAGGGGCTTCCCAGAAGAGGCATCTGGTTATCTACTGTGAGAACAGGATGCTGGGCTAGATGGACCATTGCTCTGATTCAGTAAGGCTTTCCCACATGGGCTAGAAACTTGGCAATTTAAAAAAATGAAAGCCAAAATTTTCAGGATGCTGAATCCTGAAGCCAGTACCAAAGCTTTTCTGTAGTCATATGGAATCACAAGACAGTAGTGGTCCTGCACTGAGGTGTTCAGAATGCAGGCCACCAATCCGTTTTTCTTTTGTTGTTAACCCTAACTGTTGCCACAAATCAGACACTTCTGAGAAATGATTAGCTGTGCCATTAGCCCCCCCCCCCATCCTGT